TGTTATGATAAAGAATCACAGACACCCACTCTCAGTATTTTTAGTATTGTAATGTATTTATGATTTTTAAATTTTGAGTATACTGTAGTCTTCTACTCAGCAATACTTAACTTTTTAATGTTTTCAGAGGTTGCCATATGTACTTGAAAGTAATAAACTAGTCTAAACTGGTCTGTCATTCAAACCTTTCATATCAGTCTTTTCATTAGTTTTTTATGTTGTGCTTTTTCTCTGTTTAACATTGGGAGAAATTTCTCATTTTCCCTTACTGGCTTAGAAAGATTTACTAAATTCCTTTAAAAACATTTAGACATGTCTGATGATGTTTAAATGCACGGATCTTAAGTGTTCAGTTTGGTGAGAGGTGGTATTATGTAACCATTATCTCAAACAATATATAGAACATTTCCATTCCTCCAGAAAATTCCTTTATGCCCCTTTCCAGTTAATTTCCACCCCCTACCCCCACCGGAAAACCAACTGTTAATTTTTGTCACTGCTGTCATCCCTTGGTATCCTCAAGGGATTGGTTCCAGGTCATCCCAAGGATACTACAGTCTGAGGATGTTCAAGTCTTTTATATGAAATGGCATGTCCATAGATGGAAGGCCAACTGTATAGATTAGTTTTGCCTGAATTTGGATTTCATATCAGTGTAATCACATACTGTGTACCCTTTTGTTTCTTCTTTTGCTCAACACTAATGTTTTAGATATTCATCTGTTTTATTACTGAGTGTATCATAGTTTTTTTCTTTTTTGTTGTTGAATAGTATAGAATATACCAAAGTGTATCCATTCTCCTGTTGATAGATATTTATGGTTCCAGTTTCTGGTTTGTTATGAATAAGCCTTTTTGTGGACATACATTTTTATGTTTTATTTTTCTTAGGTGTATATCCAGAATCGGAATTGCTTGACCATAGAGTAGATGTATGTGTACCTTTATAAGAAATTGCCAAATTGTTTCCTGCCAGCAGCCTATGAAAGTTCCTGTTATTCCATATTCTCAGCAGCATTTAGTGTTATCAGTCTTTTTTATTTTAGCCATTCTGTTAAGATGTTTAGTAGTATCTCATGACTTTAATACACGTTTTTCCTGATAACTAATGAAAAAGTTTGCGTGTACATTGATGTGCACATTGTCTATTCATTTGTCTTCTTTTGAAAAGTGTTCAAGTTTTTTCCCACAATTTTTAATTAGTATGTCTTTTTAGTATCAATTTATAGAATTTTTTTTAATATATTCTGGTACAAGTTAGAGAACTATTTAGCCATTATTTTTTTTTCCCCAGTCTGTGGCTGTTAATTTTCTTAATGGTATCCTTGATGAACAGAAAGTTTTAAAATTTGATGAAGTTCAGTTTATCCATTTTATGTCATTGTAAGTTTGTGCTTTTTGTTTTCTGTCAGAGCAATCTGTGCCTACCCCAAGGGGCAAAGATATTATCTTGTGTTTCCTTCTAGAAGTTTTATGGTTCTGTGTTTTATATTTATATCTATGATTCATATTGAATTAATTTTTGTGTATGAAATGAGATGGGGATTGATGTTGATTATTTTTTTTCCACATGGACACCCAGTTGTTTCAGCATCATTTGTTCTAGACTGTTCTTTCCCAATTGAATTGCCTTGGCACATTTGTTGAAAATCAAGTGACTGTATATGTATGGTCTATTTCTAGACTCTTCTGTTCCACTAGATCGATCTGTTTGTATGTGTTTATGCCAGTTCTACATTCTTGATTACCATAGCTTTGTAGTAAGTCTTGAAATCAGGTCATGTAAGGCCTTTGACTTTGTACTTTTTAAAGATTCTTTTGCCTGTTCTAGATCTTTTGTTGTTCCATATAAACACAGAATTGGCTCACTGGAATTTTGATAAGAATTGCATAACATTTTTGTATCATTTGAGGGGAAATTGGCATGAATTTCCCATCATGAATATATTATTTCTTTCCATTTCTTTCCCTTTTTTTCCTTTGAGGCTATAGTAATTGGTAATTTCTTAAACTTTCATTTTTCAGTTGTTTGTAGCAGTATTTGCCGACTTCTTAATTTTGAATTCTTTCCTTCCAGGTGACTTAAATTCTTCCAATTCCAGCAAAATGCAGTCCAATTTAGTATGGTGGCAAATAGAAGTTAAAATAAATGAACTTTGCAACATTGATTTTAGTACATACCTATTCTGTTAATAAAGAATGTCAGTATTTTCTTTATTTAATTGGTGAATGTTTTCCTCAGAACTCCCTGTTGTTTGTATGATTTAGCTGGCTTTTTTCCAGTATAAAGAAGTCCATGCTATCTTTTTGTGGCTCTTTTTGGCTTCTCAAGTAGTTAGTAAGCCAGCCCCTGGATCACAGAATGCTTTAGAGTTTCTCTGTCTTTCATTTATTCATTGAATGAATGAAGTAGGAATAGCTTTGGGCTCTCAACAGTGGGAAGGTTTGGCTAGTGGGATTCAAAGAAAAGAAGAGCAAAGATAAAAGAAGCCTTGACAGCAAGAAGAAAGTGGCCGTGGTCTCTTAGGGTGATAGTGCATGCTTGAGCCTGCCTCTTACTGGAGGGCTCTAATACAGAAATAGTAAGGAAAAGATCTAATATTTACTTGGGGGTTAGAAAGCCCTGAAACCGAATATTAGAGGCTTGGTTTCCATGTGTAGTAAAAAGTTACAGATTTTAAGTTAAGAATGTGCAAAATAATGACACCATTTTATTAATAGACCTTGTAATTGAAACATCTTTAAAAGTTGTAGTGTCTGTTAAAGTCCAGTTTTAAGCCATAGGTGTATTTAGACTGTATAATTTCACGTGGTTGCTGAAATAAATTACCACAAACTTGGTGGCTTAAAACAACAGAAGTTTATTCTTTCACAATTCTGGAAGCTGTAAGTCCAAAAGCAATATAATTGGGCCCAAATCAAGGTGTTGGCTGGGCCATGATTCCTCCAGAGGCTCTAAAGGATGATCTGTTCCTTGTCTCTTCCATCTGGTGCCTGCCAATATTCCTTGGCTTGTGGCCTCATCACTCCAGTCTTTAAGGCTAGTGTTTAAAATCGCTCTCTGTACATCACCTTCCCTCTGTGTGTCAGGTCTCTCTCTGCCTCTTTCCTATAACACTTTGATTGTATTTAGGATCCACCTGGACAATTCAGGATAATCTCCCCGTTTCAAGATCTTTAACTTAATCACACTGCAAAGACCTTTTCCCCAAATAAAGTGACATTACGAGTACCAGGGGTTAGGACCTCATATCTTTGGGGGCTATTATCAGCCTACCACAGAATGTATTATCTTTTTTAGACCTTCATTTTGTTCTGGAACTTGCTGTCAGAACAAATTGGACTGAGGCTTTTAGCACCCCAAATGACATACTCTCTTGTTGTAACTGTCATTTTTAAATTAAAGTCTATATCACAGAATAAAATGTATTGCATTCTAGTAGCACAGCAGAATAGATCGAAAAGCCTCAGATGGTGAATTAGTTATTTAAAATCATAGTCAGGAAAATAACAAATTACTTATTGAAAGAGGTTGAATTGTGCTTTAACTACCATGGAACTGATATATGACTCAAAATTTAGTAATAGCTTTTAGTTTGGGGCAGCCAGAAACTAATTCTTGGCTTTATAGGGCTTTCTTGGTCAGGTTGGAGCATGAACAGGCCCAATCTGTTCTGTTCATTGTACCAGCCACTATTCATTTTTATGGTGGCCTGTTCAAAATTACTTGCCACCTTCTAGTCTGTGCTCCTACTATACAGCTATAAGATTAGAATATTTCTCTAGGGCCTTACTCAGTGCTTGTGAGATACTGAAATTGAGTTTTCACATGTAAGTATATCTTAAATGTATACTAGTGGTGTATTTGAGCATATTGCATGTAATAACATTGAAACCTACCAAACTTGTTACACAAATCTTCTTCATACAGTGTTAGAAGAAGGATTAGCAAGAGATCTTTAATGTAACCCACTTTATTTTGGCTTTGGTACATTACTTAATATCCTAGCCTTAAGGATTACTTAAACCCCAGTATGGGAATAACAGACGAGCATCATTTGTTAAATCATGGCCTAAAAAAGATGAAACAATAAAGCCTTAGTTTCCTTTTTTCTTCAGTCATTATTTTAATCAGCTTAAATATTTAAATGTTGATAGCTGGTAGAGTTGTCATAGGAAGAGAGAAAGAGAGAGAGTTTGCCAGCGGGAAAATAGAAGCCTGATTCTCTTTGTTTGCCCTGTAATCGTTTTCCCAGCATGCATGATGTTCATTAGTTCTTTTGGGCAGCCAAATACCACAATAGCTTTTGCTCTGCTAGTGAGGATCACCAGCAGTGTGGAGAATTTCAACATGAAAACAAATATAAGAAAGATTTATTGATGAATTAATTTGTATTCAAGTGTTTTATTCCATTCTTTAAAGTTGTTTCTTATGAATCTGCCCTAAAATAATCATTTTTCAGTTAAAAACTTGTGTTTGGGGACTTTTAACTTTAAAATCTTCTGGGCTGAGCCAGAAGATGAAAAACGTTGTATTTTAAAGTAAAATTGTATAATTTCATAAGAAAGCCTAGTAGTCCACTGTGATGATACATACAGCCACGCACATTTTGTAAGGGGAGCTTCATACTCTGCATAGTTTGTACTCTTCCTTTGTTATGTCCTACTAGTCTGCATGTACCTATTTCTGCTTGTGTTAGTCATCCTCTCTAGGTAAATTGTCCTTGAGACCAGTGATTCCATCAGCAAATTATCCAGAAAATGCTGTCTTTGCACGTTGTGACAAGTCATGTCACTGGTGGATTTATAGCTACTCCAGTGGTCTAATTAACCTGGCAGTTGTCTCCTGTGCCCAACACTGTTGTCTTGTTGCTTGGCATCTTAGTTTTCATCTTCTCATTACCTTCTCTCTTAACTAAAGCTCAGGTTTACATTTTTTTTTTACCTACCCCCACTCAACCCTCTCTACTCATCACCCCCCCCTTATTTTTGATTGGCAGTATCATCCAGATAAACAAAGTGCAGATGTGCCAGCAGGAACAGTGGAGGAGTGTATACAGAAATTCATCGAGATTGATCAGGCATGGAAAATTCTAGGGAATGAAGAGACAAAAAAAGAGTATGACCTGCAGCGGCATGGTAGGTACTTGTGGTGAGGAGCGCCTGCACATTGGCAACTCTTTGAAGCGCAGTCTGCAGCCATTCCTGGGGAGCATTTTCTAGCATTACACCAAGTTATTATTGCCTCGTTTACTCCTCCCCTCCATCATTGTTTTTAATTATGCCCTATTCTTAGTAGTGATTACTGTGTATCCACTGAGAAGTTAACAAAACTACTAGGATGTGGCTTCTTGTGAAGCCGTGAAAACTACTTTTTATAACTAAACAAAAATACATAATTACATGTTCCTAATTAATATTTTTTGTTTAAAAACTTATTAAATTTTATTATGTTCTGATTAAAATTTTAATTGTAGTGCTTTTAAGACTGTATGCTGTAAAAATGACAATCTAAAGGGAGACACTGTAAAGGATAACACCATAAAAGCATTATTTGCCGTCTCTGAGCTTGTTTAAGGCTAGGTTTTCATGATTATCTCCTGGATAAACTATAATCCTTGTAAGATTGCTATAAAAGATATTTTAGGAATGCATATTTCCTAAGCAATTTTAAAAGTCATTTCTTTTATGCATTTTAGAAAATAGCTTCTTAAAACAGTGACAAGCTCTTCTGAGAAAGAAAGGGAGAAATGTAGGTCAGGTTTGTCACACATGGACTGCAGTTACACGAAGTGATAGGCTGTCTTTCAGCACTGGCCTTGGGATAGGAGTCCCTCAGCCTTCTATTTGAACCTTCAGTATGCACCCTCCATGCTAATGGGGGGAGTCAATAATCAGTTACAGCCTGTGGGGAAAACACTCAATTGCTCTCTGCGATAGCGCACCAGGCTGAGCATTGACTCAGATGTGTTGATAAAAGCTCGCTGTCTCTATACTTGATTATTGAGTCCCGTCCCATGCCCTGCGCTGGCACACCATCAACCTAACAAAGTGATGTTAAGCCTCCTACTACTAGGGTTGTGAAAATTTGATTTGAGAAATAAGGCTTTATTTCTAAAACACAGCATCATAGGATAAACCCAATGATACATAGAGAGTATCTGTATCTATTTTCAGAGGGAGTTGTATTATAAAATTAAATATTTCTTACAGGCAGTGTGTGATACCTTTGTGTAAAGACTTCATGAGCTATTTGTTTACGTACTAGAGTATTTGTTCTTAATAGTGACTGAGTGTACTTTTGCAGTGAATTTGGATTAACTTTCAATTATGGCTGGAGTATATCCTATTTGGTACATATATGAGCATCTTTCAGAGGGTGCATTTCTTTTGTAAACACATTTGTACTTCTGGCAAAAGACTGTAGAGGTGTTTCCATTTGAGGATGACTTTTATCTATAGATACATCTTTGACTTTGGTTCACATGGTAAAATTTCTCTGAAAGTGTTGAAACTAATACACATAAATGTGTTGTGTGTGAGAATTTACCTATGTTCCTAAAGTGACCAAGTTCTATAGGAGATGACAATCTCTCCTGGTGCTTTGCTCGTCTTTACCAGTCTTTATTCTGTGGTGACGATTTGCTTAAGGTGAGGACAATCCACCAAACTGTATCTTAAGGAGCGTAGGGTACGTACTTGCACTGTCGCTCTGCATTTTTGCCACTCCACAGCTTGGTGCTATTAAGAAACCTATCAATGAAACTGACTGTTGTCTAAAGAGGGGAGAAGTAGGGGGAGATCAAGAACCAAAAAATATTCTCTCTCACTAAGGTATAGGATGAGGTGAGGAAGACCAGAAATGGAGAGAAATAGGGTTAAAAGTGAGCAATAGAATTGCATGAAGGAAGGTTTAAGAGATGTTGGAAGAACAGATAATCAGCATCTTCAGGCCTTTCTCATTGCCTTTGAGAAGTCCTTGGAAATGTGGATTTCTTTTGAGCTTTGAGTCCTTGATTTTGAGGTTTTAATGGAAGCAACTGTAGCCTACTGTACAGGGGGTTCTTGTAGGTCATTGATGAGGTCACAACAAAGTTTAGACAAACCAAATGCAGTGAGAGTTGGGCCTGATTCATGATTTAGGTTCATAGGCATTTATTTAAAGGAGCATCATTTAAAGGAGCCCTTGACATCCGTATTTCTTTGCTTCACAAAATAAATTATCAAAAGAAAAAGTGTAGGGTAGATAACCTAATGTAAAGTACCTGTATTTTTTCTCCCTCATTACCATTTCTGTATTTTTAGTTGACATTTTGTTTTAGGGCAATGTTGGCCAGGTTGAAGAAAAGCAAAATTCTGCTAGAAATTTATATCATAGTTTGCTCTGCAAGTTTTCAGATGGGTGATTACTGAATTGAGCTATTTTAGAAGGACCAGCAGAAACACAAATTTTCATGACATTTTAGTACCTCAGATATTAAGTACTAAGTATTTCCTTCATTACTAGAGGCTCCAGATAGTGAGAATGCTTTGTCTCAGTTTTAAATTGAGATTGGCTTGCTGTTTAGATAAGAATTAGAAGTTTCTTATCCAAATATAACTTGCTGGTTTTAAGCCTTTCACACTAAAGCTCTTTTAAAAAATCTCATAATAAACCTAGTTTTGTATTGTCATTTCTTTTAAATAGCAAAATTAATTTTTCCTTCTTGACCCATCATCAGTAAATGGCTCCTCAAAAGAAGGAAATGAACTTGAACTTCTAACAGTGAGGATTTAGATTTGATAGAAGGAAAACCTTTGAGAGTGATAATTTGTTAAAGACCAGGATAGGTTACCAAGAGAGAGAGAATTTGTTATAACCAGGTCAAAGCACTCTTTTTTTTCTGGGTCACCCCCTGGGGACATGAAAATAGCTTTGTTATACAGAACTCTTTTTGCATGTGGTGACAGTTCATTGTAGAACTTTCTTTTCATAGGGTGTGCTTTAAATATGTTTGTTTCCTTCCCTCCATTAATGTGGAGTACAAAATAAGTTTGAATTCTTTAATGCTTGGGAAGAAGGCAGGAGATGTTTTATTGGCTGATGTTGAATGCTTCTCATATTTCACAGCTCAGAGTTGGTGCCCTGTTATAAGGAAAGCCTCATCAACATTGCCTACAACCATTTGTTTCTCTAAAAGATCATTTAAAGGAGCCCTTGACATCCATATTTCTTTGCTTCACAAAAGAAATTTTTATCAAAAGAAAAAGTCTAGGGTAGATAACCCAATGTAAAGTACCTGTATTTTTTCTCCCTTGTTTCCATTTCTGTATTCTTAGTTGACGTTTTACTTTAGGGCAACATTGGCCAGGCTGAAGAAAAGCAAATCTAAAAAAGGATGAGTAACATTCTATTTCCAGATACTATACATTTTGAAAGCAACGTTAAGTAGTGAATTTAATCAATTAGTTCCAGTTGGGCATATTTACCTTATTGTTCTAAAGATACTTCCAAAAGGCTGTTTCCCATGTTCCCTTGAAAGAGATGCTGTTATTCAGGATTAGGCTTTGCACTTCAGACGACCAGATAAACACTTTGGAAAATCTTTCTAGGATTTGTAAAATGTTCATATGAATAATATCTGTTGAATACATTTTTGTGCCCTTAAAATCTTGTGGGGAGTTTTCTCATACTAGGTGTATTAAAAAAATCACACTAGCAGTATATCATAGAAAAATAATAGGGATCATGATTCAGTAGCTTTGTAATGTGGCAGTCACAGATCTCTGATGTCTCAGTGGCTCTCTAGAGTGACACAGCTTATGAGTTAGTTCACTGTGATCTGAAGAGGAACAAACCTTCAAATGAAGTCAGTTAAATTATCTTATTAAAAAAAAGTGGATTGTATCTAATAATTGGCATCCTTGGTGGCGTATTATTTTATTTTAAGATACTCTCTGTTAGTGAATTATTTTGATAATGCAGAGCTTTCATCCTGCACAGTTGGCCAAGTACTTGGATACCGAAGACAGCCAGGCTCTGAAGAGGATTGAGCCAGACATTGTAGAGTTAGTGTGTCTTTAAGCTAATCAGCTATACTCTCCTTACCTAGATACAAAAGATCGTTTCTAGTACTGTATTATACAGTTCAGTTCATCCCTTTGTTAGTATAAATATTTGAGAATGGGAGATAAGCAATAAAATCTTGGACCAAATGAACAATGTATCTTAAAACTCCATCAATGTTTGCTTTAGAGAACTGAATTAACATGTAGTTTCTTAAGCTTAAAATAAGAATCCTTCCTGAAAAGCAAGTAATGCTGAAGACTGATTAGTTCAATAGGAAAGGAAATAATACTTTTAAATGTAGATAATAAGAATTTGGGTTAACTGTTTGGAATAATGACTTCAGTTCAGTAGATAGTTGTGTAAATTATGTGCTAGAACTGACCCTTATAAAATATTTGTATTAGATTAGGGTTTCCATTTATGGTCATATCAGTATTTCTGTTTGGTTTTAGGAATTTGAAAATTGGCTGTAAAAATGTGCTTCAGGTAAAACTTGAAGATAAGCATCAGGGGGCATGTTTTTTTGGTGACTTGTTTCTGGGAAAAGTAAGTATGTGAAATGATGCAGAAAATCCATCTAGACAGTTAGGGCCTGGCATTTATTCAGAGAGAAGAGAGTATAGACAAAACTTTCTGTGAGGGTCCTCCTGCTCCATCTTATTTGTCACAAGAACGTGACTACTCACATTATTTGTTACTTTTACTTGAATGCAAATAACTTTTCTGCAATGAAAATGTATTTTAAGATAATTTCTCAATGATTTTGAATAAAAATTTGGCTAGTTTCAAATGTTTATTGAAACCTATGGGCAAGATTATAGTAATAATCCTGGTATTCTTGGATATAATTGGAAGTTCTGATTTAATAACAGAAAATGCAGGATCTTAGGAAGTTTGTGTCTCCAACTTTAGCCTCTCTCCCAGTTCCTACCTGGGTACTTGACCTAGTTGAAATCAGTGCATTCAAAACAAAGACTGGGTCCACCTTTCTCATTGCTTGTTTTTAACCCTCAGCCTTGAAGTCTTTGTTTCGTATTATACTCTGAGTGCTTCTAGTTTGTTCAGTGTATAGCCAATGAATTAGAAATGA